CAATACATATTATAAAGCTTTGCACATGGACAGGTGGGAATATGTTATACTATCTCAATACAATATTCAGAATATATTAAACGGATAGATGTCTTTTCAAATATATAGCAATAATTTTGATGATATTGACATTTTTTGGCAAAAAGTGCAAGTTCAGTTTTTTTTCTCCATTTATAGGCTTTGAAACCGTAAGAGAGAGAATTTGTGGATGTCAACATCTTTATTATGAGGAACACAACGTTTCGGAGTATGTGCTTACTTCTTCATCAGTGAGTGTCAGGGGTGAATTATGGGTTTTATCCCTATGCATTCAGGGACAGACACGACTACTTCAATAACAATCCTAAATGAACGTCGTATTTACACAACTCTAACAGTTAAATTAAAGTTTTTCATTTTTTCGAATATATTTTAACAGGTTTTGCTTTCATTCACATATGCAACACCTGTGGGATTAGCGGGAAACGCAGGATGGCTTAATACTTTGACCCAAACGATAACCCAAGAACCTATTTCAAAATCGTCACTGATACCGTATGTTGGTTAAGAAAATATAAGTATATCTTCGTTTCAGACGTTTAATGTTTGTTTATATATTGTATTCATCAATGTCAACGCATGTTTACTCCATGTTATACAAATCGCCCACTTGAGATACAAATACATTTGGTGAAATGTTTTAACCATTTTTTACGCGATATTTGAGGATTATATTTGACACCTGCTGGGGTTTTTTTTCAGTTAAGTTTACAATGAATTTAAAGAAATTGAGAAAACATTTGAGTTGATCCAACGGGTATGTCTTGAAATCATAAAACAACGCTTATCATGCAGGTTAAAACCATGTTCATCCCTTCCAGTGTAAATACTGTGGCTTTGGTTTTATCGCTTCAGTAGATAGAAGTTCCTCAATTAGTTGTTCCTGACATTTCTAATCTCCATTTAAAAACATTATAAATGTGGAAAAAATACCACTTTCAGCGTTTATTCACGGTTACCTTACAGCATAATTGAAAAAAATATCTGTTTGGAAACAATTATATAAACAAACGATTTCGTAGTTCTCTTTTACTTAATAATTTCACAAGGGAGCTGTTCAATGTATTATTATTTACAGATTAAAATAAAAAATGCAGCAAAGAGGGTTTGGGTGTTCCTGGTACAGTCAGGCTGGTTTTTTTTACTATTATTATTATTATTATTATTATTATTATTATTATTATTATTTGTTGTTGTTGTTGTTGTTGTTGTTGTTGTTGTTGTTGTTAATTAAGCCTTGGCGTGTCCGTGTTATATATTCATAACGTAATGATGTTAACGGAGTTAACTCTTATCGATCTATGAGATAAATGTACACAATAACTGATGAATACTAGACTTGCCTAGCAGTAGTCCAAAATAGCACGAATTCTTCCAGCAAAAGATCGAGTGTATTGTCTTTCAAAGCGTGTTTGTCAAGTCAACGAAAATATTCATCAGACGACAAGAAGAAGATAAAATTATCGATTTGTGGCAGAAAAACAGTATTCATTTATCAGTTGTCATGGTAACATATATATGAAGTATTATTTATTTCTCAGACTTCTGTCTTCGCGAGGAGTTAACAAATTTATGTCCAGTGATATCGAATAGCAATTATATACAGTGGCCGCAAGGAGAACTCAATCAGGTTACTGTTATAAGTCTAACCGTAAATACAGCGAAGCAGAAATTATTTGCCCAGAAGAGAATATTGTTTTATTTGTTGTTGTTTTTTTAACTGTGAGTGCAATCTCCATAAACTTTTAAAACTTTAGTTTACACTTTATACCTTATTCTTAGATTTCCTGTCAACAACAAAATTCTAAATTCTAAATAAAGACAGTTTCTCCTTTTTTTCTAAGGTAACTAGCAAACATGGTAGCAAGTCGGACTGCTTAGGAATTCTCCAAAGATGTTCTCTTCTTATCAAAATAAACAAATACCCAGCACACCTGTGTATTTTGGAAGAATTCATAAAATCTTCGAATCAAGAATGGACCAAATATTCCCGTTTTTTTCAAAGACATTTCCATGTCAGTGCAAAGTCATTCCGCATCCTAAACCGTCAATCACTTTTGTAGGAACCCAGAGGGATTACAAATATTATCCTGGCTTTAGTCGCGGACTCGGATGCGTTTCGGGACTTATTAGCTCAATTTAATATTTCTCTTGCCGGGGGAAAAATTCCTTCCGTTGAAATCTCTCTCCGACCACAGTAAATTTGGGTTTGAAAGACACGGATCCAGACCACGCTTCTTAGCGAAACAGGAAACGCCAAATTAGAAGAAAATCATGAATGCACTGAACCTTTTAACGATTTTAGCTAAACGGCGATTCCGTTTTCTTCCCGGTGTCTTGTTTTTATTTGTACGGCTGATTCCCATCTTGTTCCTATTGTCTTTGAGTAAGAGCAGTACTCCATTACCGAAATCACTGTATAGTGATTATAGGGGTTTGTTTTCAGAAGTTCGCAAGAAGTATTTCTGTCAACACAAAATGTCTTCGAAAAGCCGGATTTGCATTGGTTGAAATGAATTTTGTTGATTCTAGTTTTCTTAATTGTGTCAACTTCATGTACATAATAATTTATACCGTAAATTATTTAACTCTTTGGACACTAAATTCTAATAATGAAACAAACAAATCAATTTTTATTGTTGTGAGACTAACGCAATTGTTCAGTTGGTTTGTACGGTTAATTGAAATATATTTATTGAAGTATATATTTCATAATTAGTTATTGTAGAAATAGAGAATTAAACATTACCTATGTATTCGTTCCTTTGAGAAATTATATTAAAATATACTTCTTTCTACATATTTGACAAACGAAATAAAAGTATTGTGTGAATGAAATAAGTATTCACAACCATATTCAAATCTTTGAAGTTTGCATCGAAATAAACCACTCAAATATGAATTGTATTTCTGTAAAATATTGTTTTTAGACTGTACCCGGGTATGAAATCAGATATACTTTTAAAATGCATAATTGTTTGCAGCTGTACATAAGCTGAAGACAAAATTATGCTTTCGAACGGAATAAATGTGTTCATTGCCAAGGGTATGTAATAAACAAATCTTGCTATCAGTATTCTAACGCTAGTATTGATTTTTCTGAAATACTCCCGATTACGGAGCCGCAAAAGAGAAATATGCTAGAACTAATGATGATTGATGACGCTGAAGCAATGATTGATTGCTACAGCTACCAACCAAGGACTTCTTCACCGACCTCTGTTTATTCATATTTCGTTTCCTTGAGTTATAATTTTGTGATCCAAGGCATTTTGACGCTGAGGATTGATTGATAGGCAAAGGCAGATTTTATCCATAGGATTTAATATTCATTCATTGAATAAGTGTTATTGATATTGTTGATACACTTTAATGATATAAAATATTCGTGTTAATAAATTCGCTTACTCACTTTTCCTGTTACCCTGACTTATTACGGAAAAATACTGACACTATTTATACTGTGTGTTACTTTTCTTCTATTATTATAAAGATAAACGTTCTCAGCGACGGTATTTGCTAAAGCAACAGGTGATAAATGTAAACTGACAAATACGTCAACACAAAAAGTATAATTATTCCATAAATTCTCGGAGCATGTACCGATTATCTTGACAAAACGTGAACTAGTTGACTGGAAACAGTATCTTAATTCGATACACCGTTTTCAGTTGAATTCTTCCGGTATCAGATTTATGAATGAATGACTGCAGCTATCTCGTGACCAGTCGAGTTTGCGCTGAAGGGCTAATTAGGAAATGTTATTCGCCGTACAACTTGATTTGACTATCCTGTTACAGTCATTAATTGAGCTTTCAATCCTTATCCCGCACGATTGTGAGAAGGCGATCTGACAACCAAACCCTGTTATATTTTTTTCGGTTTCATAAGTGGCCTCGTTGCTTTGGTCGGTGCAGGTATCATCTCGTAAGAAGGCGTGACTTTGAAACTTTTTCGTGCATTTGTGACTCCGCGGGTCGTGAATTCATGAATGAAAGAAAAATAGTCGTCAATTTATTAGTATCTTTCCCTGTGTCGGGGCTCGCACCGTTGCATGCCGGGATAATTCACATTTCCTCCATAATGATGATGTTAGGTGGCGTTGAAATATATCTTTCAATATGTAAATAAAATATTAAGAATTGACAAAATGATTGGGAAGCGCCGTATGGTCACTTGTACAGTCCCAGGAGCCATGACATTCGTACGTTATTCCGTATGCGTTCGTCCTACACGAAACTATAATGTTGTTACCTTCTCTGCAGTACATAATTTGCCTACAAACCTTCTGAAACTACTTGTGTATTGCAGACTCGTACTATAATTCAAACATATTTGTTAATTGTCACCATATTCCCATATGCTAGTCTTATGTCTGTCACGTTACAGTTGCGAAATATGTCAACGTTTCAGATTCGCAACTCATAAAACGCTGACCCTGTTGAAATTCTCATTACATCAACAATGGTTGTATAAATTAGTGAGCCAGTGCTCAACAATGATTTGGCCAGTATTTCGGAGTTAAATACACGCATAAGCCGATGGTAACCTCAGTGTTTTGCCATTCTCCGAACTTGAAATTATTGAATAATAATGATAATTAATGTCTAGCCATTTTAGGTTCCTAAACATCAAATCAAACAGACACTTTTGGCATGGTGAATTTCACGTTATTTTAGAATCAGTTCGACTCAACCGTAGTTAGCTATTTGTAGGCGCAATAACTTTATTTACCATAGCTCGGCATTAGACAATTCGTTATATCGATATTTCATTTTGCTACTTTAGTGTATCTGAACGTGATTACTTTTTTTTAAATAACGATTTAAATATTTTGCCATTTGTATAGGTCTTGGTTCTGTAAATTCGGCCTATCGATATTATATTTCCTTAAACTGCTGTGGTATTACTGAACGTCATCATCTTATTTTGTGATTAAAAAGAATGTTTTATTGTTACAGGTCTTGGCCCTGGTGAAAACCCTGACAGGCCAGGAGAAGTGCTCGATCGGGAGGGGTACCAGCATCAGACCCCCCGACAGAAGAGGGTGCGGACGTCATTTAAACATCATCAGCTGCGGACGATGAAATCTTACTTTGCGCTGAATCATAACCCTGACGCAAAAGATTTAAAACAACTAGCTCAGAAAACGGGTCTCTCCAAACGTGTTTTACAGGTATGTTATTGGAGTTTTGATCATTACAATTGATCAGTCTCTTCAATTGTATTTGTTGTATCGATCAATTTGTCCAGTTGTTTATCAAATCAAATTATGGGCTTGTTTATTCATCTACATGCATATTATTATTATTATTATTATTATTATTATTATTATTATTATTATTGGCGTTATTGTTCCGAATTATTAATATCAATTATATGTATGGTAATGCGAATTAACATAATAAATATACGCAGAGCAATATCCCTCGCTGTTCTGTACAACATGATTGACAGCATCGTGGGTTTTATAAAAATAAAATAGGCTGATGAATAATATTGATATCCCACTCAAACTAGATTAGATAAACATCAAAAACGATGTCCGGATCCCATTCAAACCATCTCAACGAGTATATCGTAACGCATAGCATGGTTTAATAGATTTTCCTACAAGGAGCATACGTTACAGGTTAACGCTGAGATTTTTCAAATTTGATACTCATTGAAATTCAATGAACCTCAAGTTTATCGCCAAGTATTTGTTCAAATTTCAATAAACAGGCTTGCTATTTATATTCCACTTGATAGCTTTGTGAACAGACACACATGACAGCAACACAAGTGTAGGCAGGCAACGGGCCCACTAAGTTCCCTAAACAAGACGTGCAAAAGCGACCAAAAACTGACGTTATTGTCAAAAAGGGGGAAAAGAGGCCCATTTGTCCCCCGTTGCCATGGACCACACAGGCTAGGGAGAATCCGGGTTCGTTTACCCAGTGTAAATTTTAGTGTTTACCGAGTATCATTTTACATCTATCCAGTCCTCCACGTACCCGATGAATGGAAGGGGTAGGAGAATGTACCCCTGCTTCACCGATGTAGTTTCTATGGGTTTTGTTGCTCAGTAGTTTTGTCATTGTTCCTGTCAACACCTTTCAATGTTTACCAGGCTAGGAAGACTTCTCTTCAATTGAAATGCATTGAAATATATAGAAAGACGACATTAAGGGAGATGCAACACTCCTGAGAAATACAGTGCACTGAATTGAATAAAATCAATCAACCCGAATATGTTTACATTAATTTAATTTTCTCATAATTTCAAATTGTCCTAGAAAGAGATAAGAAAACGTACAACTTTATGAGAATCATCATGTTAAATTAGCCTCAAGTAAACTGCCGGGCAAACGAAAGTATACCCATGTTTGATAATGGCTAAAAGTGAAACAAACAAGAAATGGTTATTCGATTGTGATGTAATAAGCAGAGTAAAGCAGGTATTGTTACGATCAGTTTGTTACGAGTTGGTTCATAGTAACGTTTGTAATTTTTGGGTCAAATCCATTTTTCAAGTGTTTACTTTATTTTGCCCGGCCATTTTATCAATACTTGTCTAAAAGAAATTCAGCATAATATGTTTATATGCTGCACAATTTAATATACATATCTAAAATATTTCTCATTTTATATGTCTTAATTTGATCATTCTTCCAGTTTTGTTCTGACAAGATAAAGTTCTAATTTACCAAATGATAACAAAAACTATTCACATAATGATCCTCTCCGATAATTAGGGGTGGTTTCCACCCTTAAGAAAGACTGATGCTATTCAGAGTTGTGGTTTCACCTTTAGTTACAGAGACCATTCACAATCCCCTGTCTTACGAGATGGGCGGGTTAGTACTTAAGGTTTATGTACCCCCATGGTCCCCGGTTCTTCAAATATTTGTTGCCCCTCTTAAAAGGCAAAAATAGATTTCCAGTCGTTTTTGACACGTTCATAGTTTTATACACACCCGTTCCTTGGCTCCGAACGACGCGAGCACGTCGCTTTATTTACCCTTTTCTCGCCCAGGACCGGTAACTTCAATAACCAATTGAGACGAAACATTGCCACCCTCTAAAATGTCATGTAGTTCCCGAAAAAGTTTTTAAAAGCCTGGGCAAAACTGTATAAATATCGGAAACTGAAATTCAAGAGGCGATGTGCGGATATTTCAGATACAAAAGCAGTATTCATGCCCCGCGTGAATGGCTTCATGTTCCGCTCTAAGTGACGAGCATTTCCAAGCAGTTTCGTTTATGTACCTAAGATCTTCAGTCATTTTTAATCGAATGAGTTATATTAAGTAGCATATTTGCCAAGCAGTTGTAACCAACAGGGGTAAATGTTCGAGTTATTGTATAGCTACTTACGTCATCAAGGTGTATAGAAATCGAAGGCCGTGTCAGATTACATTACGATAGTCGTAGAGCTTTGAATACATCATACTTTAAGTTGTTTATTGCTGATAGAAGAGCTATTAACACATGTCACTCGCAGTCATGCAATGTGTGCTAGAGAAATGACACGGTTGAAACTATTTGGGAATTGACTTCTGTGACCATAGCGACAGGTGCAAATGTTTGCATAGTTTGTCGAGTGACATTGTGGGTCTTTTAATTGTGAAGGAGAATTGATTCATACTATTTATGTGGTGATTTGAACGAAACATGTGACTGACAAATATGTCGATTGGAATACATTGCACCTGTCAATATCAGCCCATCAAAGATGACAGCTTGTACATACATTACAATATTGCATATAGAAAAAGTGAATGAGAAGTGTTGTACGCTACTTTCATCAATACCAGGGACATCAGAATAGACCGGAGCATCGAACCGGGCTTGAGCGAACGACTTATCCACATGGCCACCACACCCTGTATTTACTTGAAAATTGATTTTTTTTTTAATAATGTACAAAAGCTAATGAATGCATATCGTTTTGCAGGTTTGGTTCCAAAACGCACGTGCAAAATACCGCCGAAATCTACTCAAGCAGCAAGACTCCGACAAGGGAAACTCGAACACAAATGGGAGCTCGAACGGAGATAAATCCAAAGACTCTCACGATCAGTCTCTTACCGATCTCTCCAATACCCGATCTCCCGCCCTGTCGGACATCAGTTCGAACGCCTCCCTGTCGGACATCCAAACTCCAGCATTGGACACAGATCAGGGCAGCAACAGCATATCCGATCTCTTCTCAAGCACAATTGCCTCAATAAACTAGCGAGCCCGGAGACCAGAGCTGTGTACCAAACAGAGATTATTTTCAATTCAACCTATGTTTTATTTATTAAAAGACCAGAATAAAGTCTGGTTGACATGGTGTACAGTTCGGCGGGAAAAATCCGCCATTTTGTAATCGGATGTGTATAGTTCGGCATGTGAAACAGTTCGGCAAATAGACATGAATGTGGACGACAAAGCTGAGAACCAGATAGCATTATGTCGCCTAGTTCGGCAATGAGACATTGTTGCTGACAGTTCGACCGTAGGGTTAAAAAGATCTTCTTTGCAGCAAAAAGTGCTTTTGGAGCTCCCAAACAACGGATTTTTTTCAAAGTGCTAGCTGAAATGAAATTTATGAAGATAACGTACTCAACTGAAATGTTTAGACAACCGGAAGTGCTATGTGTGATGGGAACATTCACAATTATTCAAAACAAGCGAAACCCAGCAAACGTGAAATTGACTTTTTGCTCGGCATACAAGTGTAAATAGTTGGAGAAGGACTACAAGTTAGCTAAAAAGTTGGTTTCACGCCCAGAAGCGAGAAAAACACTAACTGCTCAAATATGCCGCACGTGCAAGATTTGGAAAAAATGCTTTTTGTGTGGACCGTTTATGATTTTGGGCTGCAGACACCTCAAATGTGTTGCAGATAAAAGACGGAACGGCGCTTTCTTTGTATTCTGTAGATACATCGAATTAAAAACAGTCAGTGGTTCCTCTTTGAACTGATAGCGAGCATATGTAATGTGGCCCGCGTCCTCTCGTGATGGCGGCTGGCGTTTGGATCCGGGCTGATACAAAAATCAAAACCAGATTTCAGTCCGGTTTCGGAACCGTATGTGAGACAAAAATACTTTAGTAATACAAGGCACATTCCAAAGAGCTGCATGTGCAACGCTGATGTAAGCTATGAAAAGTAGGACTCCTAAACGGGAACATGGATTCATAATTCATGTTGTCAGACTCGAGTTTTACCACAAGTTTTATACGGCATTCAAGGTAGCAATGTTCCCTTCATTTGTATGATTCAAGTTTATTGATTTGGATTTATATCGACACAGCTATTCCCCTTTCGCAAATGCGATATTTAGTTTCCTCTCATCTATCGTAAGACAAACAAAATATTATAAAGTGGCATTTTTTCATCTAATCACCTAATGCTTTCCTTGCGATGGAAACGGTGTTGAATATTGAGATTTCAATTTATCAAGTTATAAATATCTACAGGTGTATAATACAGGTGTAAAATGGCTTGGCAACCCCAAGCTTCATCTCGCGTATCGCCTTCTCTTTGATGATTTGATGTGACTGTTTAGGTAACTTTTACATCATACTACCCCCATGTGGTGTTGGGGGGAGGAGGGGTTATTCTTTTGGGGGAACTGGCAAGCAGATGGAGACGTGAGCGTCTGGGTACAGCGAGGGCGGAATGGTTAAAGGGAATGCAGGTTAAAACACATTTCCTTCTGCTCGACAGATTCTGTACTCGAGTATTGTCGATATAGCAGGTGCAATATTGAATGTGGGAAAAAGGTGCCAAGTCGGCATTGTTTTTTCCGCCGATTGAGCTCTGATTCTGGTCCCTATTCTGCTCAGTCGCACCGGAAGTTCTAACGAAATTACGCCCCCTTTTGTTGAAATTTATTCAAATTAACCCGCATGTACACTCGTTTTGATCATGTATGAATCTTCGTGTTTTTAAGTCATTGATGATTCTTAATGTCAGGGTATGTTTATGCAGACCATTATAATCGCTTCAATGTGAATCCCAGATTTCCTTATCGGGAATTAGCGGTGTAGGTTTCAGGATATTCTCACTTTCTGATCCAACCAGCACCAAAGGCGTATAAATTGGGATCAGGGACGAAGGAAACGAAACGAAAAAGAACTCAAAGACCCTTCACGTCTGTAGCTCATTAGAAGAATGTAAAGAACCGAACATGGGACAGAATCATTTTTATTGGTTGATATTAACAGCTGACATGCGGTCTGCTATTTCGCCTTTGGGCGTGGCTCAGATAAAAGGGACATTTTTATGATACTCTCTTCACCTTAACCTGTCCCCCACTCTTCACACTCACGACCTTCGATTTCGCCTCGCATATGGAATTCGCATTTTTATCGGAATTAGGGATATCAGGTGTTATTCAACACGATTTCTCTAATAAGTGACCTCGGTTTTACCTTTGAGGGGAGATAACTCTCGATAATCGGCGTAGTGTTTGGTTACAAGGGTCAAATGATGACGCTTATCTCGAGGAAATGACAGGGAAATTATTTATTATTTATGCCCTTGATATGCGAAACTATGGGCCGCATTTTTAAATGCTGATATTTTGTAGATGTCTTTTTTTGTAAGTAAAGAACAACATCGCCACAGAATAACCGGTCTTGATTGTCTGCCGAAACAGATTCCATTGGGTGTAAAAGGAAGTAATAGCGGTGAAAACTATTTGAATGGATAACTGAAAATCAGTTTTGACACCAGGTGTTCGCGAAAAGGATAAGCTTATCCTGCTCTATCGGCAGCGTTTATTTAAGTGTAGAATATGAGTTCCATCAACGGTGTAAAATGTTCTACATCTAACATATCTGCAGAATATTGTCATTCGTGTAAGGGACCACTATTTCTTTAAAAACGTTGATAATTGATTTTCAAGTTTGATATTTTACCTGTTTAGCCCTACATTCCATTTTCGTTCTGGCAGGAATGAAATACATTTTCCATCAAGCCGTATGGCCGGCCAGTGGTATCAAATCAACTTCTTAGATTGTTTGTCTGACACAATGCACGTGCACACCGTGCTGTCGGTAAAGTCGGCCCTTCATCAGCCTAAATTGACGCAGTCTCTCCTGGCAGGCGATAGGTAGGAATCTTATCTCAATTTAATGATATTAATCACTCCGTAACGTCAACAAAAGATACAAACATTTTCTGGCGAGCCAGTTTCTTTTCACACTGTTTAGTGATTTTTAAGCAGATACAGAAATAGAAAGTAGAAAGTTTTTAAATAGTCTCTTTTATTACCCATTTTACACTTTTAAAACGAAAACAAATATTTTTCCTCGACGGAGTAAAATGTGTCTGCTCATAAAGTGATGTGTAGGAGGTTGGTGGTCGACATTTCGCAAAAAAAGGATTATAAACGTGTTCTGTCGCGGAGGTATTTTCCCGATAATAAACCTCCTGTTTCGTGTCTTTCTCCCCAGACTCTGGACGAAGCCTACATCTGACTAAATCAAATCTAAATGTGGTAGCTATCTAGGAATTCCGATCCGTGTTCGTTTTCCGGTTCGGGTTTTATACTGACAACTGTGACAACTGCGGGATTGCCGATCCAATATGGCAGCCATTGAGAAATTCCTATACTCTCTCACGGCGAAGGATTCGAGCATCTGTTTTTATTTATCTGACAATCTGGGGGCCATTTTGGAAAACAGTTTATCCAAACAGAAACAGTCTGGCTATGGGCTGCAACGGCAGCGACTCGGCCTTTAATTTTCGTTTACCTTCGCAAATGGCTGGCGTCATTGCGGCCACTTACCCGTACACGTGTGCAAATGCCCAATAGGATTAGATCCAATTTCCTTCTCAACGATGTTTCCAAACTGTATCGCTCAAAATTTATACTTCATATTTAAGACTCGGTTTTAGCTGTATCTGTCTTTCGCTAGAAGCATTGTCTCTGGTTTCCGACCCAATAGAAGCAGACTGTCTCTCGTGACTAACATTTCGATAAATTAAGTTAGATAAACACGAACTGAATGCCATATTAAGATCATCACAGGAATCTCTTAATATTACCCATCCATGTCAGATTTGTAATTAAAGTATTTAAATTAAAATATTTAAATTAATTACACCTCCAAATATGTTTGCTGCGTTAAATATATTTCAAGACAGAATGGCGCCTTTTCTTTTGTCGATAAATGATCGTCCAGTTTTTTTGCCCATCTTACGCAGACGACATTGGAAGCTAGGGAGCAGACGATCGGAGATTCGCGCCACCTGCCCCGTCTCAGTCCTGTTCTGCTTCGTCGGCAGAATTAGAATACCCAGGCATTGTAACTGTATCAAAATCAGGTGCGCTTCCCTTCAAAATAGTCGCCCAGTATAATTTGCTTTTGAAATTGAGAGCATTATTCTCACTGCCAAGTCCGTTGCAGGATTATTCTGGATAGTTAGTGATGAGACCCGTTCGCTGAGGAGTGAAATTAGTTTTATGTCTTACTTCGCTATAATGAGGCGTCATCTCAAGATTTTTTCCTGAGTGCGTGTATGTATGTGTGCGTGCGTGCGTTCGTTCGTGCGTGCGTTCGTGCGTGCGTGCGTGTGTGTGTGTGTGTGTTTAATCGCTATCATTTGTTCACAATTACATTATTTTTGGGATAGCAAAGCCATATACATTGCCCTAGTTATTTTGTCATTTTGCAAGAGAGGAATATTTGTGTCGAAAACAATTAAACATTCCCCCCTTAAATATATACTACTGAAACAATTACTACCACTCAAAAGACGTTGAGAACATCCGATTCTTTCATATTACTATAGTTAATAATTATATAGTTATTATAATTATATATACTATAGTAATATGAAAGATTTTGGTGTTCTTTAAGATCTTTGAGTAGTAAATGTTAGGATTTAGTTACAAAATGAGAAACAGTTGAATTCATTGAGAGAAAACCAATAAATGTGCTGTGATATGTGCAGAATTCTTTACGTATTACAGCCAATCGGGTGAATACGTCTGGTAAAACGACAGTTGTAAAATATAAGTTGGTAAAAAGACTTCGGTGCGTAAAATGCGGGTCCTTGATCTATTGATGTACCACGTGACCGCTCTGCGTGTATGTATATATTGTGTGTTCCCTTTTTGTATATGAGGAGTCACTTCTGTTCGCTTGTTTAATTTTGTGATGTACTAAGAGTGAATTTCAATCAACCAGCCGCTTCATATGTGGTGCTTTCAAAAATCCCATCGGTAAGTCCTATCACTTGGAGATTGTATTGGTTATATCGAAGTGTCTATATTTCGAACGTTTATCAGTTGTTGGAGCTCATTTCTATGTCCAAATAAAAGTCCACTTGGTGTTTAAAACATTTAGTTAATTTCTACGAATTTTAAAATGTACAAAAGTTTGCCTTGAACAGTAAATTCATGTTGATCTTATTTTATGAAACAATACATGGAACATGTATGAACTTAAAGTGTAATTATAATTTACAGGTTTGGCAATGTTTTCACCTCTGATATGAGCATCCAAACTTATATAATTCGGTCGAATTCCTTTTCGATTTCTTAAAATGGAATTCTCCCTCGCAGCTATACTATATTGTTCTGTCTCATGTCGTCATCAACTTTGTTGGTTTACATCACTACTTTGTGTGTATTACGTCATTGTAGCGTGCGTGTTTTACGCATTGTCTGTTACGGTCAGTTTTCTTGACAAATCATTTACAGTTTATTTGACTGTGTATATATATACATCGAAATAAACAAATATGTTTAAACAATGTCGTATTTTTTATTTATAAAAAAATAACATATAGTTAAAGAGGACGACAAAGTGCACAAAGGAAATTGGTTATTTGCTCTGTGTAGTTGTCTCCCCTTCCTGGAAGTAGGTCCCTGTGAATGTTTTGTTGAGTGAGTTAGTTTAACGCCGATTGGAACTATATTTCTGTTATATCACGACGTATCCATTTAATGTGGGAGGACAGCCTGAAGTGACGCGGATTGTAGTTCACTGTGGTGAAACCCACGTGAATGGGTGCAGTGCTGACAAACAAAGAAAGACAAAACGGCGAAGCTGGGTTTGAATGTCACATTAGATCACACTGATCCCTGGATTGCCAGCGTCATGTCCGCCGTGCTTTTACTGATCTGCGTTTATTTAGGCTTTCCTCATATATACAATATTGTTCGACGTAAGGACAAACACAACTCACTCACACACACTAAAGATCCCACTGGAGTTAAGGTGGGCTATAATTGGCGCTGCATAAGGTTGATGCCAGTGCATGAGGTTGATGCCAGTGCATGGGGTTGATGCCAGTGCATGGGGTTGATGCCAGTGCATGGGGTGTTGATGCCAGTGCGTAGGGTTGATGCCAGTGCATGGGGTTGATGCCAGTGCATGGGGTTGATGTCAGTGCATGGGGTTGATGTCAGTGCACAGGGTTGATGCCAGTGCATGGGGTGTTGATGCCAGTGCATAGGGTTGATGCCAGTACATAGGGTTGATGCCAGTGCATGGGGTTGATGCCAGTGCATGGGGTGTTGATGCCAGTGCATGGGGTTGATGCCAGTGCATGGGGTTGATGCCAGTGCATAGGGTTGATGTCAGTGCATGGGGTTGATGTCAGTGCACAGGGTTGATGCCAGTGCATAGGGTTGATGCCAGCATAGGGTTGATGCCAGTGCATAGTGTTGATGCCAGTGCATGGGGTTCATGCCAGTGCATAGGGTGGTCCGATGAGTAAAGCGTTTACACGTCACGGCAAAGACACGGGTTCGAATCCCACATTGGCACATGTATGTGTGTTATCGCGTCACTGGGTCCCTGTACATTTCAGAAGTGTGACAGCATGGGTCGACTCTGACGGTTCACTACATGACACTGACAAATCAACAAAGCAACGACCAACGTCGCAGAACCTTACTGTCCAGTTTAGTCCCATCCTTCCACAATCGTGATGCTGGGGAGCTATTCTGATCCGGATGACCACGTTGCGCAATTATTCATTACATATTAGCCACCGTCATATGGTTGGATTGTGCGGATGACTCACTCACTCACTCACTCACATGCTGGTCTTCAGCAACCGATGCTTGATGACTTAGTTGATGCATCTTCATTGTGTCCCAATTGCGAAGATCGATGCTCATGATGCCTGTCTCTGGTCCAGACTCGATTATTTACAAACCGCCGTCATATAGCTGGAATATCGCTGCGTGCGGCGCTAAACAACAAACAAACGCTCACTCACATGACAAAGTGTTTTAGTGTGCATGGCATCAGTGCGTTTGCATTATTAGAAGAAGAAAAACACTTCAAAAAGCGCTTGTTGCCAAAGAATGTAGTAATGAAAGTTTCGAGTGAGTGAGTGAATGGGCTATACCTCATAATTAGCTTTATGAAGGTGCCTCAAGGTATCAAACAGTCAAACTGACGCACCCACTCGAATAAGTCGTCAGATTATATATCATGTGTCTAAATCCTCATTGCAATTTCAGACACAAAATATAGTCGCTTCTCCCAGGTATTAGAATACATCCAGCCAAATAATCACCATGAATAAAGGCAGTCATTGAGCGTGCATTCCAAACGCTGCTTAATCCGCAAGCGAGCCTTACATAATACTTCTATATTAAGCATCACTGACTTTTCCCACACAGTTCCTACCTAAGTAGTCCGCCGTCATGTAGCTACAATATTGCTGAGTGTGGCGTTAAACAACAAACAAAACCTGAGTAGTTGTTATAACACGGGTGTACTGTGTAGAAAGGAATTACACTGTGACGTTTGAGGTCACGTGTTACTTTAGGTCACCCAGCCTTTAAGTATTGCTCGATAGCTTCCTCTAAGGGAGTGTTCCTGACCAACATCCTCTGATAACTTACTAGTAATCGAAGGTGAAGGTGAAGGTCTCTAAGGTTACGAGATGGCTGGGGTGACCCAGAATTCCAAAGGGCTTAGACGCTGTGTGGAGTTGTGGGCCTCAGCTGACAGGACTCGCTTGTGGAATCTCATTATCATCGTCCGGTGGTGGCTTTCTACGATCTGCCTTACGACATGTACGAAGCTGACACGCCAAGATATGAATGAAAAACGTCAAACGTGGTGCTAAACCCAAACTCGCTCACTCCAATTTGGAGAAGAAGAGAGCCCAAAATGTTTCAATTCGGTGTCCTGTGCCTTAGAAACCAGTGAGCAATAAAACCACACAAATAGAAAATTCAATAGTGCCAGATTCCCCGTATATTACGCCATACTGTTCCATTCAAACGGAATCTTGTGAAGTCCATGCTGAATTCCTCTGCGCCTCTCTTATGGCCTGTGAAAAAACATCAAAATGTCCTTACATGTCGTCCTCGTAGACTCAAAAGACATCAATAGAACCAGACATTTGAAAAGCCTTCGAGGAAATATTTTCTTTCCAAAAATCAATAAACGAGTCGCGAGGATATTCTCAAAAACAAAGCCCTATTTTCAAGAGGCGCGGTTTGCCGCAAACGCTGCTATTGGCCGGAAGCCATCTTACCACCGTCTGGATAAAAGCCAAACTTAATTACGCGAGTATGAATATGTCGCCGGAGGAACTACTTTTCAGGTTTCGGCCAGTGACAGTACAGGGTTTCTTTGTTGCTGAAATTTTGCTTGAAACCATATCTGGGTAAGAACAGCGGTGTAAAAACAAAGGAAATTCCTCCGGCAGTTGACCCAAAATTTGCAAGGAATGAATAATACTCAAAGGTCTTTAAGTAAAGCTCCGTTTCCGCCGGAATTGATGAGAGAATTGTGGGGAGAATAAGAAATAGGGGTCGTCTCAAAATTAGTGAAGGGGAAATATTTTATTCATGGCATATTGGTCTCCATTGTTTTACACCCGCATGTATTTAAACAGATTTTCTATGGCTTTCAGTCATCCCATCTGGAATTATTTTTATAGTTTTCACTTAATAAAAAAGTACTAAATTTGGGGGTGGGTTGCCTGTACGATAGTTGGACAAAGTTTAATATATATTGACCATATGAATTTAACAATAAATTTTAATCTTTCCTGTATTAATGTTTTACTCAACAAGATGGCGGCATACGCATGGATAGATAGATTTTAATTGCGTTTTTGTAACAGTTCCATGGCAATAGTTTTCTTTTTTGGCAACATTTTCTTCTGTTCCCCTGCTTCTTGGCATCATATGATATGACCCGGTACTGGCGGCGATGTAGAAGAATATATGGTGTTCTTGTACCAACTTATCAACCGGAACTGGTGATATCTTAGGCACTCGTCAAAACGATATCAACATCCAAGGTAAGTAATTCCAAAAGATACATGTAAGTTTGGGTCAAAACGTCGTCTAAGGCACCGCAATTCGCTGTGCAGAGTTGCGTCCCTTGGGCACTGCAGAAACCTATGACCATGGGTTGGAATCCCGGTTCGCCCCGATTATGTTTCTAGGTTTGTCAGCACCAAAACCCGTGCTCGTGGGTTTCACCGAAGTGGTAAACGTCTGAGACCTGCATCACTTCGGGCTTTCCTCCCACATTAAGCAGACACACCGTGAAATAACTGGAATAATGTTCAAAGCGGCGTTAAAAACAAATTAATCACTTTAGTCTTGTTTGGAATACAGTAAACTACGGTTATAACGAACTCAAAGGGACCACTAATTTTAGTTCGCAATAACCGTAGTTTGTTATAGGCATATATACAGCATTTATACAACAAATGGTCGGGACTAAAAAATAAGTTCGTTATATCGGTCAGTTCGTTATAAGCGTGTTCGTTATAAACGTACTTTACTGTTTATAAAAAAACCAGAGAAACGATGGTGCTTAACACTTTCTGGTGTATATGAAATAAGAGGCATTGGCAAGCATGGGAAATAGTTAGATAATGTGATTATCCCCTGAGATGCACCTACATGAGCACACCTCCAGAGAGTCAGTGCTTGTGATCACGGACAATGGGTGTCGGGCTACTGTTTGTTACGTCACTGAAGGTTTAACACTTGAAGGGTCAAGTGTGTATTTGTTCCGTGATAGAAGGGTCAGATCATATAACCCTGCACGGGAGGTGTTAACGCGAAGCTAGTCGGTACCACTTGAGACAGGAGAGGGGTCGAGTGTCGCTAGGGGCTCGCCACGCGGGTAGAGGAGGGGAGGGATGGGGGATTATGCCGCAACGTTACCGGTGGATATTGGAGACGTTGTAACGGTTAGCTCGGCGTGAACGGCGGCACCCGCTTTTGAACTTTCTCAAGGTGTAGAGAACACAATTAGCGCCAAACTGAGTTTAGTGTGTGGGTTGGGTTTTTACGCTTTTAGCAATATTCGATTGGGGAGGGGTGGACCCCGGAATGGGCTTCACACATGGTAACTATATTGGGAATCGAACCAGGGTCTACGTTGGAGCGAGCCAAACACTTTACCGCTTGGTTCCCCAACGCCCTTCCGCACCAGGTTTACATCTGTATATCTGCTGATCAAGTTATTTGTGCAGTTGAAGTAGAACATATATGGATACTAGACACACAGAGAAATGAGATAGAATGATAGGCAAACGAGAATTTAAACCCATGATCATCAGATCCTGGCACGGACAGGGAGGTAACTCTACACATTGAATTGTGCATCTGTGACCACTGCGCAACTTGTGACCCCACAGTATAGTGAGTGAGTGAGTTTGGTTTAACGACTTTGAACAGTATTTTAGTTATATCACGGCGTGCCAGCTTGACGTAGGTGGAAAATCCTAAGCTATGCGGGTCTTAGATA